CTTTGCCAGCAAACCCATGTGAGTAAGGTGCAGCATGCCTAAGCATTTACTCCTGTGCAAGACCCCTTATCATCCTGCACAGGATTTGTCCTAGTCTTCCTCTTGCCTAGGAGATGCGAGTGCATATTGGTTGTGTAGGTGTCCTAGGCTTAGTGACAGCAGGACCCAGAGTTTGGGCAAGACAGTCCAGGTTTGCCCTGTCTCAGGGCAGGGCTGTGATTTTTAAGGTACATCCAACTGACGCAGCAACACGGTTGCATTCTGAAGAATGATCTTTAAATATGCATGGTTTGGATTTGGACCTCACCCAGGGTAGTCTGGCTGGTGCAGAAACACTAGGTCGATTTGGTTAATGCAAACCTGAACCAGGTCCACCGAGATCCTCATCTGGCTTTGACGCAGCATGAGCTGCTGGCCCCACTGTTCCTGTAAAGCGTGTTATGATAAATGGTGTAGCCACACAGAGGAATACTATCAGTCCTCTTCTAGCTCAGCTCATCTGACTTTTGGAGACCCAAACACTTCTAACTGCAAAGTCTGAGGGGCTTGGCTGTAATCCTTTTGGAAACCAAGTACCCCAGGCATTGCTAAAAACTGATTTTCTTCCTCTTTTCTACCCACTACCTTGCTTCCAAGTCAGACAAAGCCTGAAAAGTTATGGAGTGCATCTGTGGTCCTGTTTAATGTTTTTTGTGACCTGCTAGACTGGGTTTAACAGACAAAAAGTCAAATAGAAATAAATTTTAATATTGTAGAAATAAATTTTAATATTGTACATAGTGTTTTCAGGCCACTTTTGAAGAAGATACTGCACTACTCCATCTCCTCTGACCTAAAGAGAGGATTCAGCCCACAGCACACTTAATTTACTCTGTTTGACGTTACAACTTGGGCATTACTCCTCCATTTCATTGGTAAAGCTGTAATAGTGATGCGACTCAAATCGAGGCACCTGTTTTGAACAATGATGCTGCACCACAGCATCTCTGGAATACAAGGTTGCAATGAACTAACAGGTCACTTCTCCTTGGAGTAGGCAATGCAGCCAGCACAGGTGTAGGACTTGGAACTGACTCCAGCACAAACAGCTGTAAAAGCTTCACTGTTGCTCTCTCTGGAGACCTGACCACTCAGGGAACTGTGCTCTGGCTCCTTTCTAAGCCTCCTGGCTCTGTCAATCTCTCGATGCTTGGGAGTTGCTAAACCCCTGTAGTTTTGTAACTCTTTCTGAATCATTTGAATCACAAGGATCCTAAAACCTGTGGCTGTCTCCAGTTTACATCCTCTTAAGGCAAGAAGAATCATATATTCTCCACCCAAGGGCACCTCTGGATGCCCTTCTTGTCCCACCCTCAAAGTCATTTGCACGTAGCCACTGATCTCATGGGGCTTGCAAAACTCACCTGTCAGGTCAGCAGCAAAACTCCCACAGAGGGTAGAACCAGTAAAATCTAATACAAATAGCAGTATGAAGCACTTTCCTATCCTGTGCACACTGCTGCATGCCAGGGAGAAAAGACTACTTAGAAAAATGGTTTGCACCAAAATGCTCGCTTGTTCCCTATCTTCTTCAGAAAATTTCTTCAGAATTTGAGTCCAGATGTCAGTAACATACATTTCTAAACTGCAAGATCATCTGTCGTGCATTTTGGTCTTGAGCAACTGTGTTGCAAGCTTGAGAGTTTGTCTATATTACGCATTTTGAATACAAAATGAATGTTGGGGCTAATCGCCTTTATCCTCAAAATTGTGTTTCAGCAGCTCTGCTCTGAAGCTACAAGGAAGTGCAAGGAAGAGAGCCTCCTAATGGTTAGTATCCAGCTTCACTTATTTCAGGGGCAGGAGCTGAGCTTAGCATGTTTCTTGCACAGACTATACATAATTTACATTTACGGCTAAACTTTTTTGATCTTGCAAAGACTTGCATTTCCTCCATGTCTGGAGTGAGTCTGGCAGGATCAGTGTATTTTAAACACAGTTCTAAAAATTGTGCAATGAAGCTCTGCTCCTAGTTGCATTCACAAAACGAAACAGGAAATCAGTAAAAGTGAAGCAACTGAAGGGATGCCCACTTGAATCACTTTGCAAACCTTTTATTGTCAAAATTGTCACTTAGGACAATGATTTTTTTTTTTTTTTTTGTCAGTCACACATTTATAGGAAAGCAATCCAAACCCATCCTATGACTGTGATTCACTTCACTGAACCTATTACCATGAAAGCTGTAAATGATGCAATAGGCTGTTACTGCCATTCAAATATCCATCGAAGCATCTGCTAAGTTATTTATACTCCCAGGGCTGTACTTTACGGTAAATGGAAGCAGAGAATTGTCAGGAACATGCTGCTGGGAGGGGGAAAAAAAAAGAAAAAAAGGAAAAAAAAAAGAAAAAAAGGAAAAAAAAAAGAAAAAAATAAAAAGACCACTGCATTGATGTTGTAAGTTAACCATGCACCTTGAGCATGCACAAAGCATCTGGGGAGGCAGGCAGGGAAGGAGCTGCCTGCTATCTCAAAATCTTGCCACTCCACCACAAGTAGTACAGTGATGAATTAAATCCCAAACTAACAGACAACACTGACAGCCCTGCATGGGAAAAGCATCTCACAGTAGTCTCTGCTCTCACAGGACTTGTGATATCAAGTCCAACTCCTCTGCAGTCACAGCAACTCGGTGAAGGTAACTCCTAGTTTGACGCCTGAGGAACAGGCCTACAGAAACCGGCTAGAAAACCAGAAAGTCTTAACAGATGAGAAAGACCCCTCCACATACCAGCATCTGACAGAAGTGCTGAACACGTCCACAGCTGGAAGGTGAAGCATGGTGGTGGCCATGAAGTAACACAGGCAAACAGGGCTGCGGAAAGCAACTTGAAGCAGTGGTGGGAGATGCTGAACTCAGTTTGCCAGAGGCAGAATATCAGAGCAGAGGCACCTCAGGGTAGGACTGCTCATTAACCACACTTCTCACTGAGGACTAGACTTTAAAAAAAAAAAAATTAACAAAGGAGCCCAGTGATGCCTGGGGAAGGATTTAATAAAGCGAGGGTAAAAGATGCAAAGAAAGGCAGTGGGAAACAGCAACTAGCATTTTAAGAAGAGTCCCCTTAATTCCTTTGCAGCATATACAGGGAGGAGGTATCATGCAGAGCTGCCTGCACAGACTGCCATGCAGAGACTGTGCAGCTATCAGTGAGTGATGCTGAGAGTTTGAAAAAGCAGCAGCACAGTCCCTTGTGCGATGAGGGGATCCTTCATGTAAAGGACTATTATCGCAGCACAGGCTCTAACGCAGCATTCTCCCCCTTTGCAACACAGCACAATCTGGAGTATTCCTGATGACAGACTCGCATCTGCTGTTTTGTTTTTCATTGTAAAAAAAACACAAAGGAAAAGCTATGTAGCAAACTGCTTTTGCTTGCCATTTGTCAAAATGAATGGAAATCCCTCTGCTGCATAGGGACCACCTCTGCAGTAAACAAATAAATAAATATTCCTCCAGCGTACTGAGAAATCTCCCTAAAGTTAAACAGGAGGTTCCCAGAACTTCAGAAGCCAGGCATTGCCTCTCCAGGATTGTGAAGTTCTCCAGGAAAAGAGAAGTTTCAGTCCCTTTCAGTTACAGAATATGAACAACAAGGATGCAACAAGCAACAGTTTATTTGTAGAAAAATGCTTTAAAATTTTACTACATTGTAAGATTAAGGAAAAAATAGTATTAATATATGTACATACAATATATATAAACAAACACACATCGCACCATTAAAATTACATGCTTTTTAGAACAGAGAATGGGTCATATTCCCTCATATCAATTTTAAAGATATCACTGCAAGAATCCTTGCTTCCTTTTTGTTTTTATCCCCATCAAAGTTTTCAAGTACAGGAAGTAAGTAATGCAGGATCTAATAGTAGAAAACCTTTGTTATACACAAATTACAACTGACAGCTATACAATATTATTCTGCAGTATCCAACACTTCTGTTTTTTGAACTCTATAATGATATGAACTTTTACCTGAGGTGCATGAACATAATGAAGCATGATAATTGGCAAGTTTAAAAGATTTTCACATTATGATTTGACTGTAATTGAAGCTGATTAGGTATCACATGTCTATACCCATAGTACTGGCACAAGAATGCTCTGCGTGAGTCATCACCAATGTCTTAGAAGTGCAGGAAAAACTAAAAGGCAAGCACCACTTGCAATGATAAGCATGCAGACAATTTAAGTGAAACAGAGGTAGCATGTTCTTGTAACTCCAGCAGGGTCATTCGAATCAACTGCACCCTCCCTTCTGCAAAAGGCACTCACTTTTTCAGCTATAAACAATGTGGTTTTAAATTCAGTCAGATTGACCACAAATGGTGGATTTCTCTCCTTACAAATATAAAAAAATGTTAAGCAGAGGACACAATGAAAAGAAAAAAAAAGTGTGTAAGAAATACGCATTTCAGGTAATATGTGCTATTCCTCTCCCCCTACCTTTTATGGGGAGAATCAAAATACTTTATAAAACAGTTGCAGTACGTAATCCAAAAGTTAAGACTTCCCAGTTAAAATGGCAGTATTAAGCAGCACATTATGTATCAGGAGTAATTTTAAAACACCAGAAGTACACCAGCCTTTTTAATAGATAAAGAGCAACAATTCACAGTTAGAAGTAGAAAGTTTATGCACAAAAAGGTGGTGCTGGAGAAGGATAAAGATCCTTTGACATAAAACCTCATAAATGAAAATGCACAAAACTCTTGTACTGTATCTTTTATCCTTTCTGCAGTTTGAAAAGATGTCCATGCAAAACACCTGATCTTACCGTGACACTACAGAGCTAATCGAATTATAAGACGTGCCACTGTTGCAACTGGAAGCATAAGCCTCTGGACCATTAGCATCTAAATTTATTTTGAATACAGAAGATGCCTTCAGTAAGAAGTCTGCTGCATCTCTGCGACCTAATTCCCTCAGCTTAGACATTAGGATACCTACAGTGCTCTCAGGAGCATTACTCCACTCCTGCAGAAGGGCATGGACTGGGCTTGAGAGAAAGTCATTTTGTGTTCCATTATTTGTATTGTACTTTGCAACAAGATCAGGGAGGCCCAGGTTCATGGCCAGAAGGCACCAATCTTTGCCCATAGGATCAGGTGGATCCAAAAGTCGACTTAGTTTCCTCCTGGTAAGTAGATTCAGATCGGAAACATGAATATCCATTCCTAGGCTTCCCTGGGAGTAGACATCAAGACACCCAAAACACAGTATACTGCTAAAGCTCTCTTTATATCCCCCCATAGTGTTAGTTAGTGATGTCTCCTTTTGACCCTGTGCACGGAAAAAGTCTCTAGGCTGGTAGACCATTACTGGTTCATGATGTTCCCTCAGCTGCTGAGGACTAAGGTAGTACTTCCCGGTCAGAAGGCCTGGTAAGGTTGTGGCCATTAAGTTATCAATGGTGCTGCATACAGAATCCAGGAGTAAACAGCACTTGATCTTCTCTGTTTCCAGTCCTCTAACTTGAACCTCTATACCCTGACCATGGTTGACCAGCAGCACTAAAAGCTCAGCTCCACGATTCACAATCTTTGATCCGTTTACCCACAGACGTATATCAGCATCTCCCTCTGTGCTTTGCTGATGAATCCACCTGCAGAGATTCACCTGAACTTTATGAAAAATTCCACAAGGAAATGGGGTAAGATGTTCCACAGGAACGATTCTAACACCACCATAAATCAGCACCTCATCCTCCTCATCTGTCCAAGACCTGTGGAGATTGTCAGTCTTTATGAGAGCAGGAATATCCACCATTGCTCCACTGCTAAGGTCCCTTGCACAAATATCCATGGCATCCAAAATCTGTATCAGTTCTTCCACATCACTGTCTGGGACCAGACGCTGGATGTCCTCTATAGTATACCGACCTCTATAGTGATGGAGAGCTTTTGGGTTCTCCACCGACAGGATTTTTCCAAGAACATTTGAACAGAGCCAGCGAGGATCCAGAAGCACAACATCTTGGACAGTTTCACTCTGCATAATGTTAATCTGTTTATAAGTATGAAAGTTACTATTTACATCTTGTGAAGTGCAAATGATACCCCATGTTCTCTCTTTCCTAACTTGCTGACCCAAACATTTAATTAACACTGCTGATGGGAGAAAAAAAACCAGTGCATTTTAATTTCTTGCAAGTATTCAGAACACAAAGCAGATCTTGTTCCTGATTTCCACTGGCAATGAAGCCATTAGAGCCCAACAGCAGTAAAGCCTAGCCGTGTCCTGCCAGCTATTTATGCAAAGGTGTTATCCTACGATTCAATTTCTAACGGACACACATGAATTTCTCATATGCAGTGAACACATCAGGCACTATCTCATTAAAGATGATAGCATACTTACCCTTTCTGGGTATTTTATATTCTTACAACTATAGCAATAAACTGTAATTCTTCCTGTCTCAAAGAAATAATGTTGAATGAAATAAGAGCCACAAGACAATAACGATAACAAAAGTATTATTAATCATAGAATCATAGAATCATAGAATGCTTTGGGTTGGAAGGGACCTTGAGAGATCATTGAGCCCAACCCCCCTGCAGTAAGCAGGGATTGAACCTGTGAACTTGGCGATCACTTTCTACTTCTTATGATGTCTTAAGAGGGAGGAGGGGAAAAAAAAAACTATAGACATTTGCTTAAATCCCATTAAGCAATATTCCACCAGAGCAGTACCTTGCTAATAAAGATATGCTGTTTAGATAAAAACACTTACTTCTCCTATGCTATGCAACTGCTGTGCAATATGCCGTAGGTCCTCTTCACTTGCTAGGGGATTAAGCTGTTCCTGCACATCGTATACAAACTGCTGCAAGGACATCAGCTGGTTGGGTCCATTAATTTTTCTCCATGAAGGTAGTGTAGAGATTATTTTTTCACACAGATGAGTCATAGGTGGGCAAGTCTTACAAAAGGACAGAAAACATCCATTTGTAATTCTACTCTGCTGAGAGTAACAGTACTATCGTTGTTTTGTTTTTTTAATGGAGGTTACAAGGTCTAATGCATTCATGACCTATATTCACATCTAAAGAGTTCCCCTTGTGACAGACCCTTACTCTTCCATCTGGCATTCACTTGGCATAAGATCTAACTTTTCTTAATAAGTGAATTCCAGAAACAACTTTTTAGCTGAAATAAGCCAACTTTCCAAACATCACCGTGATTACAAAGGGAATCCTAACACATGGAATGAAGTTTGGTGTATATAGCCTGGCCTTGTCAAATGTGCTGACCACCTGAAACAGTGACTTCAAAATCTATCAACTGCCTTCATGCATCTAGAAGTTAATCTTTATTTCAGCAATTGTCAACATTTAATTAAAATCTGTGCTCATCAATATCTGTACAGGGTCAATTTACTTCAACAGGTGAGACAGCATAGTACCAGATAAGAAGATGGTACTTTTGTCTATTGTCTTGGACATCACTGATGCCTTAATTCTACACTCTCAAGCCGCAGCACATGCTTCTTATGCTGCAAAGCCCTCCAGATTTCAAGCTCGTGACCATGGCTACGATAAACTTTTGTCAGAGAAGAAAAGCTTATTAAATCAAGAGACCATTTGGAAGATAAAATAAGCTGAGTTTTGCATAAAACCAAACATTCTCCTTGACCTACAGAATGAACTCAGTAATACATTCACTTTTAATTAATTTTTTAAAAAATACCTATCACAAGTAGCTGCAGAAAGTCTTGTTGGTGTGTCACACAAGTAAGAGGGCCTTTGGTATGAAGAAATTTACATACATTTAGCAGAGGCTACATAAAAACTTGACTTGGTCACCGTCACTATGGAAGTCTCTGTGGATTCATGGTGATATCAAACTATGGCTGTTTTACCTTTAGTCTCATATACATATACCTACACATATATATATACACACACAACTCCAAGCACATGTTTTTCAGTAAAAAAACAGTGCTAAAAAGTTATGCATATTCAGTCCACACATTTATATTGGGAATTATCTTTATAACAGTTGAAGAATCTGTTCTACTCTTCTTTTTTTTAAATGAAAAACTTATTTGCCTGAAGTATATTCTGTTTCTCTGTAATACTACACTGATTAAAAAAAGATTAAAAACAAAACAAAAAAAGAAGGGTCAATGCTGTAATCCAATCACTGTCAATTCAAAATACGAAACTATAACTCTGAACTGAAAAATCTCAAATAATTTCAAGAGACGTCATTTTGGTGGCCTGTACAAAACACCTACAATTTTGAAAATGCTGACTGAATCTTTGATGTCAGGAGTTTGTTTATCACCAAGTCTGTCATGCATGCTGATAAAAAACTGAAACAGCACTCGTTTCTTTAGGTATCATAACGTAAGTATTAAATTTACGTTACATTATTACACAAGGTTTTCACATTTTGGCTGGCCCAATCCACACCATTAGATATTACTTACAGAAATTATCTGGCTTCTTATTTCTTGTAAGTGATTTCGGAGAAGCTTCATATCTTTAGACCCAGATGCTCCAGCATCCAAGACAAATAACTTGTCTGAAATTTGCAGGTCATTTCCAAATCTAAAACAGAAAAACTGAGCTATTATTTACTTAGTCCCAAACACAGTTTTATTTCTTAATCCAGTTGTACTTCAGTCTTAAATTACACAAGAGTTGTTTTTCTTCAAGGAATGATGAAAAACTTTAAGTAGTGATTATGCTAAGATATTTTATAAACACAGACAGTATAGCTCCTCTAATTTTCTTGAAAATAAATATATTGAGAGAAAATTGTTGTCTTTCCTAAGGAAGAAGGCTGAAGAAGTGTCATAAAATTACAACTGCATCACAGGACTTGTAATTATGAACCCAAACGTTTTACTAGAGAAGGGATAGCAGGAATTAATTCGTTTTAAGGTCTTCATATTTGTGGTTTTCTTTCTGCTCACTTTAAGTAGTTCAGTTGTCATTGCTATTGACGCCAGCTCTCTCTCATTTCCTTTTGACTTTTCAACCACACATACTTGTCTTCCTAGCTCTGGGCTGATTTGCATTTAAAAGCATTCCAGCATCAAAGATTACACACAGGTATTTTCTGTTGGTTTACTTCAATTGACTAAGATACTGCCCTGCCACTATTGTGCTGGAATTCGTACATCTGTTTCTTGTACGGTCCAGACAAGCGTCTATGCTCACAGGTATGGATGGTTCCTTGTACCACGTGTTACCCACTTATGTGCTCACTGTGAATATAAATTACTGTTACTTTATACAACAGTATGTTCTGAGAAATCCCCTATTTCCATCTACAGTTCGCATGCTCTCCAAACATTTGCTGAAAAGGGCTAGAAGTTTCCCTAACTTCGAGGTACCTCTTGGATGACCTTGTCACCTGTGTGACTCCACAATGCCCAGCTCTTCATAAACTGTGTATGGAATACCTCCAGGCCTGGTTTAATTTTTTTTCTCCTACCCATCCTAAGTCAATTCAGAGTAAAGGGTGGCTCTCCTGTAAAGACTCTTCTTTTGCACTCAGAGTTTGTAGCTGAGAACTGCCCACTTTTCTGAGACTGGTGCAAAACCCGGGCACCAAGATGTTAGACAGATGGCTGATACAGGCCTTTGGATGTATCGCAGCGTTTACAGGGTAAGAATTACTGAGCCTCAACTCATTCTTGCACCACCTGGCTCCTTTTACCTCACTTAAGGCAGCTCACTCACTGTAATATTGGTAAATGTTTCAATTTTTGCACAATATAAGCTTCCCGAACATACTCAAAATATCGTAATATCATAAAGCTTAAGCCACATAAAAAACTTTTACATATTCCTATGCATTTTAGTATTTTTTTCTTTCCAACTGACATGTTTAAACACTACATATAAATATACTCCCCACTTACCTGTTCCTGATTTCTTTCAACAAGGACATGTCTTTGTCATACGAAAACTCTCCAATAGGCCGAGGAAGATTCACTATGTCAGCATGTGTGGCGACCAAAACAACACACAGGGGACTTTTCAGCTTTCCACCAAATGCTAGGAGAGAAACAAGAGCACTCCCTCACTATGACACATGCCTATGGAGATGGTTGTCTTACTGAGCTGGGAAAAGCAGCAATACTTTTTATATTCTTCATACCAATCACTTTTGCAGTGGATTTACCAACTCTAAGCATAGCCATACTGTGGTTACACCACTGGTGCTCTGGCTGTTATCTCCTTATGGGATTATCTGTATAACGATTTGAATAGCTAGACTCTTTGAATAACATCAGATACTTTGATATTATGTGACTTTATTGTTTTAACAAAAACGTTAATCAGTAACACTAATGATATCTCTATTAACTACCAACTATAATAGTGTGAGAAGAAAAAATTAATAACAGCTTCTTGAAAGGGTTTCTCATAACCTTTGTATGGTCCTTAATACTACAGGTGCAGGGTAGAGGATTATAAGTAGAACACAAAATGTCTACAACATTCATACGTTGGTATGAATGCTATTTTGCAGTACTTACACAAACAATGACCTCTCACTTAGGTGAGAGTTAAGTAGAAAAGCCTGGCAGAAACCATGAAAAAGAATGAGAAAGAAAAAAAGAAAGATACAAATGGCATGAATGAAGTGACAGTACGAAACACACAGTTTTCAATCTTTTCTCAAACTGATCTTCCAGAAAAGAGACATCATTACACTATTTTTAAAAAAAGATAGTACATCCAATTCTGCTGTTTCAGTCTGACAAAACTTCACATGGGAGAAATATGCTTACATCATTGCTGAGTTTTCATCAACAAAGAGCTGCAGAATCTTGATTCATTCCTAAAAAGCCACATTTTCCCAAATCTCTGCATAGCACTTCAAAGTCAGTATTTTGTAGTTGTAAATTTTTTTTTTTGTCAGCTGAAGAACTTAGACAAAATAACTGGAAGGTAATTCCAAAAGTTTAAGTTTTCTGCTAACATCAGTTAGTACATTGTAATAGTACAAAAATGCATGTGTACCCAAATAGAGCTTACAAGTATAAACACTGATTTAAGCAAAGTAAATAATGCTGATAATGAGATCAGCCAGAAGAAACAATTAACTCAAATTCTAGCTTGGTGAAACCAAGAACTAAGTTTCCTCGCTAGACTGAGGAGCCATGAAAAGCTTTCAGCAATTACAAATTAACTGTATTTTCAGTTTTGATACGTTTCTGCAAATTTCTGAGCTTTTACTTCCAGAAATAATTCTGTACTGGTTAGATCCAAATGCTCATATTGTTAACCTTGTGATTTGACCTAAAAGGGAAAATTAAAGACATGCAGATGCCTGAACTGAAAACTGAAGGTCTGCCTTGGCTCATCATTATCATTATCTGGCTGAGATAATGCATACAGAACCAAGCAGAAAACAAAAAAAGGGGGAAATATTCTTTGCACTAAGTAAGTATGTGATATGCTTGTCTGGTGACTCCCTAGCAGTGTTATAAATGTCCATGAGCACTGAGTTAGATTCACTGGCTGGAATAACATTTCAGTTCATAGGACCAAGACACGTCAGAGCTTGGTTCATGCACGAAACTGTCACAATCTGCAGGTACAGACTCAGGTACAAATGTGAACAAGTTATATGGCATATACACCTAGACCTACAGACCTTTTAAGAAAAAGAAAAAAAAAGTTAATTTGTTTGCCTGCCAAGTAACTTTCAGTTTGTTAGAAAGCTTGAATGTAAAACAAGTAAACTTATATAAAACCTGTGCAAAGTCTGAGAATATGTGAAGTGAGATTTACTAGAAGTCCTGGTTTCTGTACACCCTGATGCACCAAACATTAACATACTTGAAGTCCAAGTACAACTGTAATTAAATATACTAAAGTGGCACGTACTCAGAGGTATCGCCACTTCACAATGTCTGTTCTTGCTGACAAGACCAATTTATGCTGGAAACACTGTTAATTTGGGTTAGATATAAGCAGAATTTAAGCAATGTGTCTAAACCTGTTTTTAAATGGTTCCAGTCCTCTGAAACACTTTTCCATGCAGCTTGTCTAAACTGCATCTGCCATTTACAGATGTAAAACCCAGCGCCACAAGAGGCTGCATTGTACCTCATCACCCTTTTTAGTTGGACTAAGTGGTGTGTACAACTCTTCATGCTTGTTCCACAGATAAAATCCCCTTTCTCTAAGAAACCTTGTGTGAAGTTTGTTTGAATATGTGGGGATGAAGACACATAACTGCACTCAACATGGAGGATGTACAGACTTGCAGAGAAACACAAGAAGCGTTATCTTACAGTACCCTAATATTTCATTAACAGGCAGAAGAGCATACCAATTGGCTCCTCAACTGGGACTAACGACTTCAGGAAACTGAGCCAAAAGGTCACTTGGTTTAGCTGGATTTCATAAGGCTCCTCGAGACTAAAAAGCACTATGTGAATTGCAGTGGGATCATTTGCAGCAAAAAAATCGTAACAGCAGAAATACACAGGATTCCCAGAGAATTCCCAGATGCTGAAATCGCCAACTCCTGAAAAACAGACAAACAGATGAAGAGATCACACTTCATCAGTAATCACAAAGCATCTGTCAGCCATGGGAAGACAAACAAAAGAGGTAATTTGATTTAAACTTTCACAAAGATAAACCGTATGCATGTGAGAAAGCATGACTGCAAATGCAATCATGAACAAAGGGAATGGGTTTCAGTCAGTCTCAGAGGCTGAGAAGTTGGATCCTCACAGTCTGTTCCTCTCTCACATTCACTTCTCTAGGACCTTCAGCTGGATGCCACATGGAAGCACCTGTGTGTTAAATGCATGCAGCCTTACACATTAAATTGCCCTCTGCCTTGCACAGCAGCAACAGATCTTGTAATCCCCTTGAAAAACAAGAGTTAACGGCTCCCATTCTTTTCCTGCTCACCCGAAAAAGCTTAACATTTTTATTAATTTTTCTTCTTAACATGCCACTGCTGGTATCAAAATCAGCTGAAGGACATTCTCAAAGAAGCCACTTCACTTTACAGAATTGTACTATTCACATCATGTTGTTAAGCCAGGACTGAAGAATCACCATTTTAAGGATCCCAACAGCACCGTGCTTCTTTTTGCCATCCCCTTTAGCTTCAGGTGAGAAAACTATCAGTGTGTTGCACTGTATCACACTTCCCAGACTCCACATCTGATTATGGTGAAGTCTGCTGCACTTGTACTACCTCTATTAAAATAAATGCTGATTAAGATACACCTCAAACTTCTCGAAGAAGCCAGAAACCTCAAATCTGCTGTTATGAGTACAGCTATTCAGAGTTCACTCATGTGCATACTTCTATATAAAGACAGCACAGAGAAAGAAAAGAAACCCCTTCTCACAGTCTGTTGCACAACTCTGTTTCACTGCAGAATTTGATTTAGTTTCAAATTACACTGAAAGAGGAAATTAGCCTGGACAAAGAACAAGCTTTAGTTACATGCCAAACTCTTCACCACCTAGGACAAATGTTTTGTCACTGCCTATGTTAGTGTGCATACACTGCACTCACAAATAGGTTTCTCTCTCCAAAATAAAATCTTGATTATTCCTAACTCAGCCTCAAAATTGCACTTATGGTGTGAAAAACAATTTGCTTATTAAGAAGAGATCCTACTGGGAGAGATCTTACCACCTATAGAATGATTAGTATGGCTGGTGGTGTATATGCCCCATTTGTACAGTCTTCACAGTCAAAAGCCATATGTGTACTTACAACAACTTCTCTGACTGACCCCTGCTACTGCTAGCTGGTTTCAACTGCAGAGCAGTTAGTTTCCTTTCAAAAAAAAATGAAATCAGAAGCTCCACTCACCATGTTTGGTGAGCTCCAGGACTCACCAAACATGCTGCAGTCCTGTCATGGGGCACGAATGGTAGGTCCTTCATGCAGCTGGGAACCACTTACATGGTGAGGACACTTGGGTCTATGGGACCAGACTAAATCTGATAAAATCCCCAAACAACATACAGTATAGGTGAAGGAACCTTCACACTGGTAGCCAGTCTGCCAGCCCACTCCTATTATATCAAATCCATCCTTCCTCCTGCCCCGCTTATTCATCTGAAAAACCTTTCTATGTGACACTATAAGGATCTGACACATGGGATTACTAAGTGTACTACAGGTAGAGAACTTCATGCAGATTTACTTTCTGCTTAAACAAACCAAACCCTAGCAGTGCTGGATTCTCAACCACAGTCACTACCATACTAAGTCAGATTTTTTTTCCCCCCCTTTTTATCTTTAAAGACAAGCAACATGGCATTAACCATTCTGCAGCATTAATGCACACAAACCCAGGGCTCTGCTTACCATGCAAGCAGGCATTTTGAATGTCAATGGCCTTGGTAGACTGGTCATCAGCAGAGAAGTGAGAGTGATGAGCAGATGAGACGAAAGCTTCTAATACCCCTTTGGTCAGGCCCGGCTCAAACATCATACTACGGCTTCTCACGCTGACATTCTCACAACCAGGATAAAGATTCGTAATGCTTACTGAAACTGGGTCAGGGAAAGGAAAATGAGATTACAAACCATGTGAAAATCACAACCAGATCACTTCAAAATAAGTATGCAAGGCATAAAAGCTGATTAAAAAACCCCAAACTGCTCTTCTAAGAAAGGAGATGGCTACCAAGCTGTGAGCATACACAACTACAACCTTATTCAGAATGATGAAAAGGAAAATTAGAATGATCCCATATTGCCCTCTAGCAGATATGCTGCTGGGTGGGAAGCACAGAAAAAACCTGAATGATTTGGGAATGAAACATTTCAATAGTTAAAGTTCTTCTATGTTGCAAAGATATACTGCTTTTTTAGCTAAAGGCTGCAATTTAATAGCACGGTCTATTTTTATTGGCATGGAAATGCTACACATTCATATACTTGATTCCTGTAAGTAAGGGTAAGGATAAAAAAATCAGTGTGTAGCAACTGTTTCTGGGGAGGTGGGGGAGAAAAGCAGGCCCTTAACCAAAATTATTTTACTACTAAGCAATTTGTTTAGTTCATGCTTAATTCAGATTCCCTAAGAGTAAATGAGAAATGAAAGGGCTTTTTAATTGACTTGCCCCATCTAGCGGAGAAAGTAAAGACTTCTTTCCTCCACTAGATGCTGAATTCTAATATTTGGGGTTTAATATAGAAAGAAACTACCTGTCAGCTGTAAAACTGTGCTTTCATGTTTGATCTTCTAGTGTAATATTTAAATCTTTAGGCTCTTGTAAATAAATACATGGTGAATTCACACACTTATTTTTACAGAATTTAAACAAACCTAAGCACATGATCAAGTATAGACCAAACTGCGATGGTTTAAATGTTTATCTGATTATGTCACTCAACCCATAACATTATTTACATGTCATATAATGATTTTCATCCAGAAAGAACACATACTGAAACAAGGAAAAAACAAAAATCCAAACATTAAAACAACTCCATAGTAGCTTTGTTTGCACAGAACTGCACAAGTTTCAAGTGTGCACAGCACTGCACAACTTTCTGGCTTTATATCTAGGTAAGCTATTTTCAAGTGCATGCTTCAAATTCACCATTATTTCTATAATGATTTGCCAATGTGACTGGCAGTCTTGTCTGATTTTATGGTGGTGTGAGCACGTAACACCTAGCCTCCAGTTCTGGTACCAACCAACATTAAAAAAAAAAAAAAAGTCTGTCTTCAGCCAAAACCTTCCTGCACTGCCTCCAGGAACTGATACCCCTTCAGTGACTTATCTCCCCTTGTATGACACAGTAAATTAAGATAAATAAATGAAGAACTTTTGATTGATTCATTTAATCAATTTTTTTTATTCTGTTGTCACAGATGTGAACCCCTTGTGTTAAGTAAACAGCAAATGCAGTAACAATCTCTGTGCCACGTGTCTTATCTTGTTAGAGCCACTCTGTGAGTACCTTATAGCTTCCTCAGGTGACTAGAGAAAGTAGAGATGAAATCTACTACTAGCCCTGTTCTAACATTACTTAAAAATGATGAATGAAACCTAAACCTGCAAGTATTATCCAAAGGTTTTTAAAAAGGCAACCGTGACCCCATCTAAAACTCACACAGTAAGACTACTTCTGAACACGAATTTAAACTTTAGCTCCTCAAGCTTAGCTTGTATACATTGGGCAGCCTCTTAGTGTTAGAAAAGAGACCTGGACAAACAGTTCACTACTCTTTCCAGTAGAAACTGTGGATTCTTCCAAAGCCGGGCACATGCTGAAGTGTAAACCTAGCTAATTTACCTACTGCAGCTCTTCCCACTTCACACAGGCCAACTGGTGCTACATGGGCAAAGTTGCCCTATTATTTGCACACATTTATTTCAGCTTAGAAAACCTCCATTTTCACCTTGTTTGGAGACAATTTAGACACTTCTAACTGGGCTAATCCACTCCAAAGCATCAGAGGCAGTTCTGAATCCTCTATTCACTTAAAGATCACATAAAGATGCAGCAACTGTTTTAATTTTGCACAGAGTTTATTGAAGCTACTCAAAACAAAAAGGCTGCCAAAACGTAATCCCCAAAACCACGACGGTGGAATGTGGTCATGACACTGGCGTTCGTAGCCTAGGACTTTCTGTGAAAAACTAAACGTCAGTGTTCACAAGTCCTGTTCTCCACTCTCCAAGTTCACTTAGGCAGTATGTGACTAAACAAAACCTTATCTGCTTCTGCACCCTCCACACCCCGCTGCTCCTCGTTGCTCTTACTTTAGCACACAGAGAAGTCAATACCGTCTCTGCTTTGCTTTGGTTTCTTATGTTTCGCCTGTCCTGTCTTTTGCAGTGCTGCCAACAGTTCTTCCTTAGTAGCTACACAGACTAAGAGGAAAATGTTTTCTCATTCAAACGTTACATCTTTGAAGCCATACCTGAAGGTTTGGAAGACAAAGGAGAGGGGGGGAATCTGGTTGAGTTTGTGGAGGAGAGCCTAGGCCTACGTCTTCGGAAAAAGCTTCGTATCAGGCCACACTTGAGAGACTCCACGAGGGTTGTTTTCCCAGTGCCAGAGTGTCCAAACAGCTTCAGTTTGATCCGGGGCTGCGGATTCTGCATGTGCCGCAGCTGCTGGATAAAAAGCCCCCGGTGTGTATCCTAAAATTCAAGATAAAGAAGAAATCAGAATGTGTGGCAGGGAACTTCTGCCTCCCAACAAACTCAAAACATAGGGTTCAGATAACGCTTTCTTGCCAGGCTGGTGTTCATCTGGATCAGTTCCTCCATCTGCTTCATCATGCAAGTGATCAGTTACTGGCAGAAGGGCAGGGACGGGCAGGCAAGGCACAGCTGACTGCTCACTCTCAACAGCCACCTTGAGTCTTGATGAAAATCACACATGACTTCAGGCTCAACATCAATGAATGGGATCATTTTGACCTCTGATGGAGAGGGCAAAGGAGGAAAAACTAATCTCTTTCAGTACCTGTTCTCCTTACCTGTCAGTCTCAGTACCACAACCAATATCCATAATCTTATATAATGTACATGCGGCATTGAAGAATTTTGCAGTGACAGCTACCACCTGAGCAATCCGAAAACTCCATGTGCACTTCCCCTCTTCTTTACATCAACTTTTTCTGTGCTTCTCGTATTTGGGAGAATTTTCCTCTTCCCGCTCCCTCCTCCCCCTGCCCAGTTCTCTGTTTATTTCCACTTCAGTTTTAGCAAGGTAAATACTGCTTTTCTCAGACCACTCTTATCTCTCCTTTCCCCACACACTTATTCTTCTTTAACTTAAAAGACCTTTTGCATACTATTCACCTTCCGTTTTTCTACCCTGCTACTGCAAGGGTACATCCTCCAGACTGGTCTCCCTCTTTACTCCCAGGCCTCAACAGATCCACCTCCCTACTCAATTCTCCTCTCATTTTGCCCTCTGTGTGCATTCATTTACTGTCTCTTCCACAGCTGCATTCTCATCCTCCTACACAGGCCTTCCTCAAACCCAACAACATCTTCTACAGAAGAGCTTTCCATTTGGAGCTCCCCCATTACCCATCTGTTATCTTGTCTTACAGTATCTGAAGCTGGAGTTGGGAATGAACAAATAAATCTGTCTTTTCTCTTTGCCCAGCAAGAGGCAATCAGACATGGATGCTCTATTTCCCCCAGAAACTGGGCTTGAAAAATCAACTCAACACAGGAATGCAGTGCAGGTCAGCAAACTATCAAGTGTCTCTCGCCACAGAAAGACCTGTTTTAAGGAGTTTTAAGGGAGACAGCAGAAAGGTGGAAAGGCAAAGGAACTAGCTTCCTTCTCCCTTCCTTCATTCCCCCATTTGGAGCTGAGAGTGTGGCTCCTTGTTCTGCATTTGTACTGAGTTTAACATGTAGGATGAGTCATTAAATGAGCACCTACAGCCCCCCAGAATTATAAGCATGCAGCAATTAAGCTGAGAAATTTGACAGAAATAGTAGTGCATATAATTTAGTTCCTTCCTCGCTAACAGGCATTTATTAAATAAGTTAGTCACAATGCAAATACTGCAGCCCCTCATGGCTAATACTGAATCCTCTGCAAGACCCACTATGACAGTAGGGTCTTCATGTGTGTGCTATTAGGGACAAAACCCTCCACAGGCTCAGAAAATAAAACAAGTGTCAGGTACACTCTGTATTAGATGATATTGACCATTTTGAGTAGCACTAGAGTATTTTCAGTGGTTTGATGTAATTTATTAATTTCAGTTGATCTGATTCTCTGTTGCAAATTATAAACTCTGATGAAGTATATCATTATCATACATTTTCCCCATGTATATAAGCAGGCCTTCAATAATTAAGTATACTCTGCTATCAAGAAGAGAGTTACAGCTACTAGTATCTCTTTCAGAAGAGATTTATTTGATCTCCCTTTTGTTCTAGGTCAATTCATATTAGTTCCAATTTTACATCATGACTAAACCACAGATTTATCCACCTGCATGCAGAAGCAGGCAAGGGTTTGGTTGGGATACAACTATGCAAAATGTATCCTGTTATGACAAACGTTTACAAAAGCTATCATTGCAAAAGAAGCCTGAACTTTGGCATTTTCTGACATCTTCACTGATATATTTTACAACCCTAGCAAGTACAGATTTACTGGCAGGGCTAAAGGACATGATTCAACTTCCACCTTGGCAACGCCTGGTACACGCCATACTCTATTGCTACTCTGAAATGGTCATTTACTTCAGTTTCCCACAGACCCATCAACATAATTAAAACAGGGCTGTTTCAACTGGTCTGGCTGTTGCCTTGAATATCCAGGCAAGTGGTCCCTGAACCTTCACGGCATGAGTGATGCTGCCTATCTAGAATAATCAATGCGTATCAGATGTGTCAGACTTACTGCCTTACAAACAAGCCCAGATCAACTTTGCATTCTGGTTGTCAGGGGATTTGGAGATACTGAAACTGCAGAATTAAAACAGAGACACTGAGAACTTACGCAACAATTCCACATAGTATTAGAGTTTCCAGAAGGGGCATAAACCCCAAACCCCTCGTATTTCATAACCCTAATCTAACTAAAACGGTGATAGTGGGGAAATAAGTCCTCTTGTGGGATGTGCTAATTCTCAATAGTTTATTTTCCACTTTCTTCTAAACACCTTAAATGCTTTACTAGGCAATGTCAGAGACAGGATAAAATAGATCAGTGGTGCAGACTACCTAAGCCATTTTTCTTAATTTGTACATACTAGCTTTAACTGAGGGCATAATTTCAAACTAAAAATGAAGGGGGGGGGGGGGGATGTGGGGAAAAGACACCGTTCCAATATGGATTTTTGCAACAGCTTTTTAGAATGACTTTGATGAATACCTTATCATATGATTTCCCACAGTCAAACCTCTCTTGGTATCTTAAAAACATGAAAACCTCAGTTAAAATTCATGCATTCCCAACCTTTTTAAGTCTTGCAAGCAGACTGGCTACATGTTCATGCTGCTCTGCTCTGGCGAGATCTTCTGCTGTTTTCCCATCCTGTTAAAACACAAATTATTAGCAGCAGTTCCTTCCTTTTGCCCACAATAAAAAAATCACGTGCAACATAGCTCAGCTGCTCAAGGCAGTAACAGAATTGCAGTCAGATGCAAATGAAACAGGGAGAAGGAAAAAAAAAAAGAAACAAAACCAACCAGCAACAATTACCCCCCACCAGAACCCCCGTTTTTTCAAATTGTCCAAAAAGTATACGGTACAATGCTGAACAATGGCACTTCTTTTATAAATTGGCATCTGGATGCCACAGAAACAAGATACTTTGAATTCAGAGCCTGAGAGCTATGCCAATACTCCCCATCTGAATTCTTCCTCTCTTCTCACCAATTAGAGGATGACTGCAATTTCTAGATATTACATACTGAACAGACCTAAAAGTTTAAATGGTTCAAAGAGGGCACACATCAGCATATTCACGCACATAAAGAGCAGGTGAACTTTGTTTACTTATGGATAAAGAATGACAGTGGCATATCAGTCACTGGACGTTTCCAGAAAGCAAGAAAATTATAAGAGATGTGGTTTAAAATGCATCAGCAAATTTAAAATGAGAAGCAAAGCTGCCTTCAGCATTCTGGTCTTGCCATTTGATTATCCGTGTTTCACAGGTCAGCAGTTTAATATTAAATAGGCTGAAAGAAAAATTGCTCACTACTTTCACTCTCAGAACTACATTAATGCTATTGTGTTTTTTTTAAATTTTGGTAAGAGGTACCTAATTTATGAGCACTTTGCTTCTTTCCCTCTCTCGGATAAGAACTGTCAATTATTAAGAAGTAGTACTGGAAGACTAAGATCTCTTTCTTGGGTTTCTATCTTTCATTTTACTAGTTTTTCATGTGAAACCTGTATTGTCTTAAGTAGTTCCTGAGGTTACTGTAATTATTATCCCTACATATGAAATAAGTATCATTGACAATTGAGTGTCCACCTACAGAAGCCATTTTCAGGTTTCCATAAAAGTTATTATCTACTCCAGAACTTCAGATAATTCAGACAGAACAGGGACAGAACACTAGCAAGAAACAGCCATAATTATAGTTGATGGTGTGAACTGACTAAATTTGAACTAATACCTTACCCTTAAATTCCTTCCATAGTTGACATGTAATTGCAACTTTAGTAAAGAAACATCTGAATGTATTCTTTAAAATTAATTTTCCTTAGAGAAGATGTATCAAAGGGGAAGAATCTCTTTGTGTGTGCTGACCCTACGCTCCCAATCCCAGTTAATCCTGAGTGCCTGCTCTATGAGAGGAAGAGTGGTCTAGCGGCTGGGGGGGGAGCCTGCCATCAGGAGAACTGCCTCCATACTTCTAGTGCTTCCTGATTTTCCAGTCTTGGGCACATCCAGGGGAATCCAAAACCTTCAAATAAAGGGGAAACCTTGATCCCCTTCCTGAGAATCCCTGTGGTAACAGGATGTGGCCTTCACCAACCTAAAGTGTGAATTTTAACCCGATCCCCAAATTTTTGTCCTCCTCTTAAGTCCAAAGAAGGACTGCTACAGCCTGGCCCTGCACTCTGGAAGAGTGCAGTATGTTCCTGTTGCAATGTAAGGTTGGAGATGGCCTGGCAAACTGCAGCACCAAGCATGTACGTAGCAACAGATCCCTGCATGGGCATTGTTCCTTTGAATCAGAGCAGGTCCCACACCTCTCGATGGGTATGCCACAACTGCCATGCCATGCCTTGGGTAACAACACCCTTGTTTGCTGTGCCTCATTGCTCCATGGGGGTTTGTTCTAGCTTCAAGCCTGGCTTTGGTTAAACAGCTGTACTCTGCTAGATCATTTGTTTAGCTCAGTCACAGCTATTTGGGCACAAACAAAAAGGAAATAACCACCTGGTGAGTATTTGGCAGGGAGTGTGAATGGCAGTGGCTCAGCCAGAGCCTGATTGGTGAGCGTGGTTATAATGGGACGGAGATGACTGCTCCCAAAACTGGAAAAATGGCAACAGGAATGGTTCAATCTGCTAAAAGTCTAAGCATATGTGTGCACAGAGCAAGCCTACCTGTAACAGTGGGATGGCACTGTCAAGACCCAGAGTTCCCTCCCAGTGTCCTAACAGGCTCCTGAGCTCAAGACCAGCTGTCTGATACAGCTGTCTAATCTTGGTTCCGACTGCTGTGAAGGAGGAAGACCTGAAAAGATGCCTCAACAGGGGCTTCTGCACTACCTTTTGCTCAGGCACTGCTCATGGGCTGAGGCTTTTGCCCTTGGTCCTCACCTGAGCAACACAACAGCGGTACGCCTGCATGTGTCCATGTATCCCACTGACCTGGCCCCTGACTTCCGGGTTTGACCTTGAACCTGTCTCTTCACTATGGATTTGCCTGGTGATCACTAGACCCTTGGCTGACCATGGCCACCAAGCCCAATTTCTGACCTTGACTTAACCTCAGACCTGCCTCATTGTTACAGACTTGTCTGGCAACCCGGACTCTTGGCTGAAGCTCGTTGCCATCACTGGACCTGCTCCGCTCTTCTTGCTTGGGTACTGTGGGACTGGGTCCTTGTTGGTGAGGACACTCCCTGCTTGCCTTGTTATTTACTCTTGGGTCCTAGCTCACCTTCCCTTACAGAGCCAACGCCTTAGCAAGGGCACTGCCTGACAAGCATAATTTTTGAAGTCCACGGTCATCAGACCACACAGTAAACACAACAGCCAGGAAGGCTTGTGGAGTAGGTGAAGGATACCCCAGAGCATTGGCAACAAGCACCAAGTACAGCAGGAAGAACTCTAGGTCAAATTTACCCCAAAAAAGCATTTTGAGATGTTTGCATTGACAGATGCTAGCAGTTCAGATCACATGCCTGTTGAAAATTTAGATTCAGATCTGGAAGCTCAATTTATTGATCGAGATAACAGGTGGAAAAAGCATTTGCTTCCATGAAAAAGATACTAACAGAACAAATTTCCCTTTTTTATCCAAAACTATGAACAAGATGAGGCTGTTTAATTCTCTGGATGCCCACTGCAGGATGAACTGTAGAGCACAACAAGAATTAGAAAATATGTACACAAGCAAAAGAGCGAATGGGTTTCAGCAAATTATTTTCCTATTCAAGCTTTCTTGAAAAGTCCAGGGTATCTATACACTGGAACAGCAATGTGTAAGCAAAGGTGGCATCTGAAAAGTGCTTGGTTACAGGATCCATGAAAGTGTATTTCACACCTGGTGGTAATATTTCATTGCAATTGCTGACTGGCTCCTTTGTTGCAAACCAGACAGCTACGCCTGCAAGAGCATAGTCCTGAGTTTAACTGGCCATTTGTAAACATCATCATTCAAAATTTTTAAGCACTCTGACAATTTCAAACTTGGTACAATTTTAGAAACTAGAATTTTTTTGGGGATATTCAAACATTGGAAATTACTGTATACTTCAGGAGCACATAGGTTTTCTAAGGTCACTTACAACATTCATGCAATCAAATTCAAAATCAAACTAGTCCTTAAAATGGGCTTTAGCCTGGGGAGGAGGCAGGGAGATCATACCGCAGCCCAATTACTTGACAATACTGAAAAAGTTAACTCCTCAGAAATGGCATTCTGAGAGAAGAAAAAGGTAATTAATTCTACTGCACTGGCTTGGAAAGAGCTGTTAATAAGACTTTTCAGAACAGTTTAACATCCACCTAGCAAACTAATGCAAAACTGAAATGCTATTAAAATCACCACATGCACTTCCTCCCTTCCTCTTCTCCTTTTCCCTTCTCTCTGCCACAACACTGCTGAAATAATGGATAGTTATGTATGTTCAGTCTGCCTCTCCTACATTTACTATCAGCATGATTTACTTTGTTATCTCCTTCAAACTGATCTAAAGAGATAAGCAGTACTTTTATCTTGGAGGAACAGGGTCCACACAGGCAATTATACTAACACAGCTGTCATGACATAAGTGAAGTAATACAGCTCAAGAATTCCCCCATCACCTTTTTGTTGTATGTTACCTCTCCAGTATGTAGTAGTGGAAATACAGATACATAATGGGACATACAGGGCCAGGGGCGAGGGGGAGAAAAAGAAAAAAAAAGGGACAAAAACCAGGTAACAAAGGAAAACCTGGAAAACACCCCACAAAGTCCACTGCATGCATATTTCATTATTATTGATTAATAGGGGACATGGCAATCTACAGTCTAGTAGTTATCAAAAAGTCATTTGTAGATGCTAAACTTGTTTAAGCCACAATTCCAAGTTCAATGGTTTTAATGACTGCTTTTTGAAGGCTTCCTCCTGACACGAGATACATGCTTAGAGGAAAAAAACATAGTGCTAAATGTACAGGGAAACAACAAAAACATTTCTATTTTCTACCAAATGGGTAAAGCAAATGAAACAGAGGTTTTCTCCTTTTTCCCCTCCATTTCAGCCATCTCAGAGATACTTCATAAGAAGAACTTTGAAAACTCAACTAAAATCTAATCACAACAATTTCGATATACAAAGCAATAGTTATTTCTGAGCAGAATGCATTGGTTAGGGCGAGTAGCAATGTAAACTGATCCAATGCGTCTGAAAATAAAACATGGTTAGTTTGTTCAAAACACAGGTAATGGTGTGTATGATGCCTGTAATGTATCATGTGCGTATGAGGTGTGCATGATGAGGGACACTTCATTTCTGGTGTGGACATGTCAGCTAGGAGGATGTTTCTCACCTTAGTGAGAATGAAAAATACCCTCAGTGGTGCTAATTGGAAGCAGTAGTGCTGACTGATCTGACATAAATGGTTTGTTTTACAAGGATAGTTGCATGCTAGTTCACTCATCCATGCACCCACACATCTCTCACCATGAAAATAACACTTTTTAATCCCCTGAAAGCAAGAAAAATACTTAAGATACATACATTTGTACAATAACTGTACATGATGCAAAATGACGTACATCTTAATGACAGTGGCCCACTGTGCTTATAGAAAACACAATGCTACAAGCAGTTCTTAGATGAAGAAATTCTTAGGTGTAGATGAAGCAGTAGCTGTATTGCACCTTAATCAAATTCAGTTGTAAGAAGGGAACAAGTTGACAACAGAAAATGCTTTTCAAGCTGTGGACATACAACGGCTTAACTTTTTTTTTTTAAATTTCAAAATGTAATTATGTTAGACCATTGTCCTTTTCTGCCCACCCCCGCCCCCCGAGATGAATTACTTTCTTACTATCATACATAAACCAAGCAAGAAGCATAACAGTATCTCTCAATACTTACAGAGGTTAAAGCTTCTACATTGGCACCAGTAAGACACAGGAACCGGACAACATCAAGAATGCCATTGTTTGCTGCTAGATGTAAAGGTGTTCTTCCATACTAACATGGGGAAAAGTGTCATTACGTTAGCCAAAGAACTTCACTCCAAATTTTATGACTAATAAATGTACAATTATACATACTGATACACAGCAAAAGTCTTGCAAAAACTGAGAGAAAAAGTACTTTTGATTACAACTTAAGCACAACTGCTTAAAGCTCAATCAGAAAAAAGGCTAGATTGACTACTTTAAAAATGGGAAACAATTTTATAGCTAAATCCCCCACAACTCTGGAGGAATCCTTTAGAGTTTTTTTGCCTATATTTGAGAATGCCTTTCTAATTCCCAGTAAGTTTAATTGCATTGTGCTTAATTAAATATGAACCAGTTAAGCAACACTAAGTCCTTAGCCTTTAAAGCTCTGGATTCCATTTTAGTCTAAGTATTACTGAAGATTACATATCTGCAGTCTCCCCGCTTCCACCCAAAGGAATAAAAGGGATGAATGCAAGAAGTCAGCCTGAAGCAGTTTGTGTTTTCTGTGACAGAGGGAAAGTGCTGTAAGTATTGCTTTCTGAATTTTTGCTTTTACCCCTGAATCTCTCCACTGACAACAGGTTCTCATGACATCCACTTCTGGTCTTTCATGTTCAGAGCTACTGTTATAAATATCACTACCATATATTCTTTGCTTGTAACTCCTTACATATACATAATAGGTAACTATTACTTCACATGTTTTCATGCTTTCAATACTGTTCTCCCTGTTTCAACCCTACGTTCAGAAACAAACTTATAAAATTACTTCACGAAAGAGTATTTGAAAGCAAAGCTAACTATGTGACAACTGGAAACTAAAAAGATGCCTGGCTCCTCAAAACCCTACACCTCAACTCAAATAGCATCCTGGCTTGTACCAGAAATAGTGTGGCCAGCAGGAGCAGGGAAGTGATTGTTGTCCCCCTGTACTTGGCACTGGCGAGGCCACACCTTAAACACTGTGTTCACTTTTGGGCCCTTCACTACAAGAAAGACATTGAGGTGCTGGAGTGCATCCAAAGAAGGGCAACAAAGCTGCTGAAGGGTCTAGAGCACAATTCTTGTGAGGAGCAGCTGAGCCAACTGGGGTTGTTTAGCCTGGAGAAGAGGAGGCTGAGGGGAGACCTTATCGCTCTCTACAACTACCTGAAAGGAGGTTGTAGTGAGGTGGGTGTTGGTCTCTTCTCCCAAGTAGTTAGCGATAGGATGAGAGGAAATGGGCTCAAGTTGTGCCAGGGGAGGTTTAGACTGGGTATTAGGAAAAATTTCTTCACAGAAAGGGTTGCCAAGCGTTGGAACGGGCTGCCCAGGGAAGTGGCTGAGTCCCCATCCCTGGAGGTATTCAAAAGACTTGTAGATGTGGCACTTAGGGACATTGTTTAGTGGTAGACTTGGCAGTGCTAGGTTTGCAGGTGGACTCGACGATCTTAAAGGTCTTTTCCAACCTAAATGATTCTATGATTCTAAATAAATGCGTATGATGTTCTACCGCACATAATCTGTGGTAAAAACAAATGCTGCCTTCAATTGGTATTACATACATGTGGGACAATGCCAGGTGTGAGGACAAAGGATAAATGGTTGTTAGGCTAATGCACTCCCATTACAGGGCTCGCTGCTGAAGTAGACCAGTAGAAACAAAGATTCTCTATTTGGTAAGACCCAAACTCACCCTTTCAAATAAAGTGCACTCTAAAAATCACTCTAGCATACACGACTCCTAAAAGAATAACAGGACACAAACTTTAACCATAGCTTCTGTAGCCATGATCCCACCCCCACTGAACAGCTGAAGACTGATTATTTTTTCCACAGTATGCTTGCGGCCAGGCCACTGATGCTAGCTCAGCAGTCTCCATTATGAAAAGAGGTGCTAATCCAGCCTTGTGCTGCACTAACTCACCTTCTTCAAAATGTGTTCTCAGCTGTGGATCTGGATTTAATCGCCTAGTCAATCAGGTTTAAGCTTAGAAGCAGGACTGGGGAGCTCATTATTGTAAGTTTTTTCTACTTGGCAGCTGATGATTTTAATTATTAAAACCAAAAGTGATTGCACTGGACAACCCTCAAGCCAAAAGCCCCACAACTTTCTTTAGCTGGCTAATACAGAGAAGATCAGTGCTTTGGTAATAAATGGGAGTGTTAACTAGCAAAGTGTCATTGCCAGAATATGTACCTTTTCAGAAAAACAAAGAAGCTACAACACCTGAATCAAACAAATTGCAGATACCAACATAAAGACTCCTATGAATAATTTTTAAACTTTGTAGCATATAAAAATTAAATAGGGCAGAGAAAGACATTCAGAGCTAAGTATCAAGCCCTAAGCCCCATAGCTCATCAGCAGAGTTCAATGGCTGACCTTAACTTATTCAAATTAACCAAAGGAAAAGTTTCCTGAAACAGCTTACTTTTCCCTTAAAGAAAACCAGAATATTACCCTGTAAAGCATCACATTCAGTTATCCCCATACACTGCAGCACCAGCAAGACAGAAGAAGCAAACAAGGCACTAGTATCTCAAAGTTTAGGGACAGGCTATTAAACATTCTCTTTGGAAAGCACTTACAACAATTATGGACAATTCACATTTTAGCTCACAGTAATCCAGTGATATGCACCGGAATCAACATTTTTAGGGTTATAACGTTTACCAAACATTTCTGCAACTGTTATGTGTTTGTGAAACAATGACCAATAAGAAAGTTCCCAAAAAGCACCTCAGACTGCTGACTTCAACTTTTGAAAATAATTTTACTTTTAACATTTTAATTCTGAGATTTCCTCTACCCTGCCAGTGACAATTTGTTTAACAGTTAAACTAAAGCTATTCTATTCTAAGATAAATGCTTGATTAGGATTTATTTTAATAAATCAACTTAATGCAGAAAAACATAAACCAGGCAATATGACACTTATTTTTATAACCGGGAATAGAATCTGCAGTTGAGTTAAATCCCTTGTTAGATGACAGTGCAGATCTTTTAATGTAATTTGGAGAATTCAAAGCAGATTTTTCATGAAGATGTATCAGTCTTCAATTCTGTATATAAATTACTGTTATTAAATGCCATCAAATCAAGGCCAGCAGCAATGCATTTCATCTGTTCTTCAGCACCTAGATGCAATCTGCACAAAGCAAAGCTATACAGCTAAGGAAGAAGGTAGAGTTGAATGGCAAAATAACACTGTGATAATTCACTTGGGCTCTTTCTTCATGGATCTGTAGCCATCTATTCAACTGAAACAAACTTAGGTAAATTTTCAAGGAAAGTAATTTAATGCTTTGCATTTGGCCACTTTAAGAGATAAAAAAGTAAAAGGAAAAACACTTTTCATATCAGAGACCTGGAAAAGGTCATATAATGCAATAGGTGAGCTATTAAATAAAGCAGTTTAGTACCCGTATTCCATTTACCTTATTAATGACATCCAAATTACAACCTGCTTCACAGAGCGCCATCACAATAGGAACATTCCCATCTTTGCAGGCCACATGCAAAGGAGTGTTGCCATGTCTGTCTTGCATATCTACGAAACATCCTTGACTGATGAGAGTTTTAACTACTTCGATTTGACATCTTCTCACAGCAAGGTGTAGGGCTATATGACCATCCTGAAATCACAAGACAGCTTGTAAGTGAGATTTAATAATGCTAAAAATCAAAGCATTTTGTAGAGTCGCAATCATTTCATGTAACTGGGTGCCATCTCCTTGCCTCAAGAATCACAATGTTTTTATTTTTATTTTGAGGGTAGAGGCAGGGAAATGCACAGTATCTGTCAGAACAAATCAGCTGTGGGATGAAAGCAAATTTCTATTAAGCCACTGGGCTTTGCAGTGGAATGGATGAAATGCAAATACACATTCTCTACTGATGACTTCCCTAGGAGGTAGGAGAGTGACCAACTGTAACAATCAGCTGAATATTGTAAACAACTCTAGTGTTTACTGACAGAAGTTAGTGATGCAAAAGTCATGCAACCTGCTCAGTGATCAGGAACTTCAGAGACAGAGCTTTCTCTCTCTGTGGAACAACTTAAAAAGACAATGTGACTGGCAAAACCAATTTAATTCTTTTAAAGGCAAAGACATCTTTCTGAACTTGCTTTAATAACTATTTAGTAACTATCAGCAGCAAAGGTAGCTGAAAGGACAAGCATACTAAAGGTATAAGCAATGAAATACAAAATTTATTTGTTGGGATTACACCATGAAAGACAAAAACCAGTTCTGAATCAAATAGTTATATTTTTAAATAGTAGCAATTTAGCGTATTGGAAATAAGTGTGATTTATCCAACCCATAGGAATCAAAGGCTGTGGTGGTGCATTCCCCCCCCACATTCTTCCTTCTCTTCAACAGCTTTACGATCTCAGGAATTCCAGGCCGCCGCTTTTGTGTAGCGAGTTAGTCAGTTAAGCGCCCCTTAATTGTACTAGAAACTCCTACATGGCTGAAGCAGAGTGCGGCCCTGTCCTTATCAAAATCTTCGTATTATGGCTAACGAGGGGAACAAGAACAAACAGCTGCCCCTGACAGCCTTGAAACAGAGTGTTATCATCGTTACTGGAATTCCAGCAACTACTGACCCAAACTGTGGCTCGGATGGAAATTTACTGGTGATTCAAGTCAATCATCTCACAATCCTACAAACAGCAGTCCTAAATGAGGCCCTCTGAGCTCTCCTGGGCTGCCGCGGGCTGCACCAGCATCTCCCTCTGAGCGAGACGCCCCTCAGAGCCAGCAAACTCTGAATGTTTGCTGCAACCAGAAATCCATTGCCACAGACTGACAGTGGAGCTTGGGCTGAAACCCTTCACTCCTCGAGGCTCAGCCCTCACCAGTTGAGAAATGCCAAGACATTAGATGTGAATATTTCACTGAACTCGAGGGGAATTTTTAACAGGTATACCATTTTCATATATGCATTCATATTTGTGAGTGTGCATGCGTGAATCAATTTAAGTAATCTGTAGATGTATGATTTAATTTCAAAGGGAGTCTTATACTGCTGCATTATTGTTATAGCATTACTCTCCTAAACCACTGACCGAGTCTGAGACTAAGAGTGGGCCCAGCTGCACCTCGGCTCCTCTCTGAGAAGGAGTTTAGAAAGCAAGGGGGTCTATCCTGAATCTCATGACTCAACGGGAAGGTGTCCATATCCCCTACATACGATTTTTCCCTCTCTCTCTCTCTCTCTCTCTCATATGTAACCCAATTTCCTTTACACACTTCTTCTATGTACTAGATATATATATATA